GACAGGACTCAGTTCTTGGCAGCTGTGGGGCTGAGTGTCCCTGCTGGCTGTCGGCTGGGGGCGACTCCCGCCCTTGGCCCATCACTGCAGACCTCTCCTCCCTCGGCGGCTGACTCCTTCACAGCCAGCAGGAGGCTCTCCCTCCTGGGTGCTCGGCTGGAGTCCTGTGTGGCACGGCCTAACTGTGAGGGTGACTCTCCTGTGACGTTCATGTCAGCCACAGACACGTGGCTGGCTTCTGCCGATGCCGTGAGCAGAAGAGGGGCAGGCCGCTTCCTGAGGGAGGGTTTAAGGGCTGTCAAAGACCAGGAAGAGAAAGAAACAGGCAAGAGACCCCACTGCGACTTTGCAGGAGAGGAAACCTAGTAGGCAAAGTAAACAGAAAGACCAAATCAAGGCCACAGCAAGACACCATGCTCGGCAGACTGTAAGAGCCCATGTCGGTGAGGGGGGGGACGCAGCCAGACACCCACACACTGCTGTTGGAAGTGTAACTCGGTGCCACCACCTTGGAGAATAAATAAGCATTTATTTACTTATTTATGAAGTTAAAGCTATGTGTTCCCTTGAACCGAGCATGGGCATTCATAGCAATGAAACTCTAGCATATGTCTTTATTAGAACAATTTTGGTTGAAGCACAATTTAGGCAGGCATTTTACTCGAATACCTTGAAGACGTGACTCCCCTACTGGTGCCGGGAAGCCAGCTGAGGGGCCCCTCCCAAGCTCTTCAGCCCCACCGTGCCCTCTCTCGCTGCTTCTAAGACACTCTCTTCTGTTTCAGCCATTCCCGATGTTCTGTGACTGACGACTGGATTCTTGAGATCACGAGCTAACCCAGTGGCCAACGTTGTTTGCATCCATCCCATTCCTGTGCTTTCACGGGAGTGCGAGAATCAAAGCCTGCACGAATCCCAGCATCGGGGCTTCACTTCCTACCCCACAGGGCACATCCACTTCACAGCTCCTTGCCCCTGTGCTAATACAGGCTCTCGCCCACGTCTCCCCCTTGTGCCTTCTGCTTCCGACCACCGCTGTGTGCTTCCCTCTGTGGCCTTGCATGGCGTGAAGCATCTTCATCCCCTGCTCTTTGGGAATACAGGAAATAAGTTCTTATTTCGGAGCAGTGGTCTCTGTGCCTATCGTCTTAGCATACCGGGTGAACCAAACCCAGGTACATCTTATCCACTCGCTCCGTGCTAGATTCTTCGGGATGCCTGAATCTGTGGGTCGACGTCTTTCATCAGCTCTGACAATTCTCAGCTGTTTTCCCTTCAGATATAGCCTTGCCCTATGCTCTTCTTCTGGAACTCCTGTTATTTTATGTCATCATATCTCCCCCTCCTCTCCTGGCCTCATGGGGCAGACGGGAGAAGAGCAGAGGAAGCCAACGAGCAGGAGGAAGGGGCTGGGCAGAAACCCCACCTGAGAGGTCGTGTGGCCCAGAGGGAGAGGTGAGGCCTGGCGCTGCCCTTCCTGGCAGGGGCCCAGCTCACAGCCCGAGGGCTAGCCGTAGTCCGGTGACATCCCTGGCTCTCCCAGAGCCCGTGGCCTGCCTGAGCTGCCCGAGCAGCCTCTTGTCCCTGACAACCGAACATTGTCACCCATCGGTGACAGCGGACACTCCAGGAGGCATGGGAGCCCAAGGCCCTCAGGGCGCTTCTGAGGAGACAGGCGATTCTTGCCGGGCCACACATGAGGTGGCAGTGGGGCACTTTCCTGTGACTCAATCCAACTTTGAGAACCCACGAGTGTCCAAGTCCTCATGCCTGTCACCTCCTGACCTGTTCTGAGGGACACTCGTACTCACTCCAAAAATCTCATATGCATGTGCCCAGCGGGCCTCACTTACGTCCCCCATCATTTGCCTTCTTTTTTATTTAGAAATTGAGAAAGAACCGAGGCCCAGTCATGTTGGGAAACGGCTGAAATTTCCCCTCTCTATTTAGTACATTTCTTTTATCTTAAAAAAAAATACCATTAAGTTATCTCCCTTATTTTATTTTATTTTTTCTGGAAAACTCTTTAGTTTGTGTATTTCTCAAGCATTCTGACATTCTGTCCCAGACTAATGGCCGGATCACTTCCTTCTAGTCCCTCTCAAAATTCCTGCTGGTTTTATCTCTTGCAAATGCCTTAGTGCTGCAAAGCAAATTCCCCCTTCCCTCCCATTTTTCTACACTTCGCTCTGTGAAAAAGAAAGGGCCCCAGGCTCACTGAGGTCTTTAGGCAAACCAGATACATCCCCACAGAGCCTTCAAAGGTGCCTCCTCCAAAGCTGCACAAACCTCTGCCTATTAACTCTTTCAGAGAGTGTTTGTCGGCGTGTGAAAACCGTCTGGGTTCATTGATAAAAAAAAGGTATTGTTTTTGGGCTGTTGAGTATATTAACGAGTTGTATCAGAGGACAGTTAGTATTTGCAAAGGGCTTTGGTTACTTAGGCCTATTTGCTGCCTTAAAAGATGAAACGACATTCGGAAAAGACACCCCCTGCCAGAACATACTTCATTAAGAGGCTGGTAGGACGCTTCTCCTCCCCAAACCCCAAAGAGTTAAGTTGAAATGGTTACTATTCCTCTCTGTGGCCCCCACATCCCGTATTCTAATGTATGAACTCTCATTCAGACGCGAGCCAGCCCCATATGCTTCCCGGGCTTGGCGACAGCTTGCGTCCTCCGCATGACATGTATGGTCTCTGCTGAAATATTCATAAAAACACAGTGTTATGAACTGGAAGCTCACCTAGACTGTGCACATACACGCATGCATGTATTTGTAGCCCCATGTTCCGAGGGGGGTTCACTTTGTCCCTTCTTGTCCAGGGACTCTCAGCCCGAGGTGAGAAAACCAAAGCAGGGTCATTAAGAATTCTGACAAGGTAGGCTGAATAAATTGTGTTTTCTTTGTGAGCCTTAATCCGGTGTTGTATTGGCTTCTCGGACATGGCTAATTTATTTGGAATTTCATTCTGTTCCTGACAGCGCCCTTGACTAGCTGTTTGATCACCCTGAGCAAAGTTACATACCAGCTTTCAACTGCTGGAAGGCCAGCAGTGTAATTTTTCTCAAGTGCATTCTGCTGGGTCCGGCTTTGTGCTTGTGGTAGGACATTTCAAACGGCTGTGGCCATCCCTTGTTGGGGAGAGAATCCAGCCCTCGCAGGGGTCTCCCTCAATGAGGAAGCTTCCCACTTGCCCCCACTCATTTGGGATTTTAATCTGCTTTTGTGGTGCAGGAAGAAAGAAAATTAATTTTCTCCTGTCTGTGAGTAGGAGCATTTCACTGGAAACCCGGTTGAAATGCATGTCCTATTGACTTCAGCCGCCTGCATGGACTGGCTGTGCTTTGAGATGCAGTTGTCTCAGGGGAAGAAGAAAATCGGCCACAAACCGTTCCAGGGGTCTGACCCTGGGTCTCCATCAGTCCTATTATCTCAGCAGAAATAGGAGTTGACGCTCATTCTCTCCTGAGTCATATATATCTGCAATGTTTGCTTCTTCTCTTTTGAATAGCAAGGATGTCTTGCTTGGGAAAAAGAAAAAAAATAACAGATTTTCAATGAGACTCCAACACTTCTGAGAGTCTCTGCATCATTGTAGTCGGTGATTTTTACATTTTGGCAGAATCTGGTATAATGAAAATTGTTCCCTTTAATTTGGCTTCTCGATACCTGTCCACATAACACATTCCTCCTGCGTGCCTTCTGGGTGCCAGGAACTGTGCTGAGCCCTGGGGGGTTTGGGGAGAGCCCACATTCTAGAAATACTTAGAAGACTTCAGGGGATGTTAGGCTGTGAGGAAAGTAAAAACGTGACTGACCAATCAACTGAAAAACAGGGTCACGTGATGGACGGGGCCTGGTGAGAGGGGTCACCTTGGCGTTCTGGGCCTCCCTGCGAGGTGGGGAAGTCCACCGGGTCCCTGTGCCATTTGAGCAATGCTCATTTCCTGAAAAGCACTCGTATGCCTGGCCTTGCTTGCAGAACATGGGGAAGGGACAATTGTGCCTGTTTATGGATGAGGAAGCTGAGGCCCAGAGCACTGCAGGGACTTTTGGAAGGAGACCCAGCTTCTGTAGGGCAGGCAACTCAGAGGGGACCCTTGAGGCTTGTCCTGGTGCTGTCACTCACAGCAAGAGCTGGTCCTGGGCGGGGACTAGGCTATGTCCACCCTGAGGCCTCCTCCATGGACCTTGCCTGTGGAGAGTTCATCTGCTGAGCACTGTGTTAGGGGACAATGAGGGAGGACTTGCTGGTCACTGCTTCAGTGACTGGACACTTGGGTGAGGGAAGACCCCCTGGCTCTCTGCACTCCTTACTGAGCCCAGGCCCTGCGTCCACCCTGGGGCCTCTCCGCTCAGCCCTGTGACTTGCAGCAAACTGGCTGCCGGGTCTGCTCACCCTCTTTGTCATGGGCTGCATTCCCAGCAGGTGCTTTAAGAGACGGTTCACCTGGCAAAATGTGCAGGAGGTGTGGGGAGGGCAGAAGGAAGGAGGGAATGGCCAGGAAGAGCTGTGGCTTCAGGCACAGCCGCATTTGCTGAGCTCTTGAGGGGAATCCTGGGGGCTGTGTTCGGACTTGGAGTTTGTCCTGATCCCAGCGGTCAGTCCCAGACTGAGGGCTGTGTGGGTTGAGGGCACCCCAAACGCTCCGGGTGTCCATACTGGGGGCTTCAGCACCAAGGATGTTGCCTGGAGAAGAGGTGTGTGGGAAGCCAAGGGACAATGAGGCCGAGGGCCGGGGCCACAGCAAGGGCCTGGAGCAGCCCCACCTTGTCCCCAAATACACCTTCACACCTGCAAAGCGCTGGCCTCTGTGCTGGCTTTCATTATCACCACATTATTGTTTTCCTTTTGGTGATGCCGCTGCCTGTGTCTCAGGCCTGCCACACCTGCCAGGTAATCCTTTCTCAGGAGAAGCCACCCAAGGCACGGCCATGACACTGCCCAGGGCAGGGGACCTTTGCTTCCTCTCCTGAAGGGCGTACTGACCTTGGCTTCCCCGAATGCCGGGGGGGGGGGGCAAGGACGTCTGGGCAGGAAGGGGGCGCTTCCATGGCCCTAAGTCTCAGTGCGTGAGCACCACGTGAGCAGGCCATTGTTGACTCTGTGTGCTTGGCAAACAGGAGATTTATCCAAGGCCACCTTCCCCACCTGCTGGGCCAGGGGCCTGGGTAGGAGGCTGAGGATAGCATCTGCTTAGCATGTGCCCGGGGTCTCCCGCTCCCCTGGGGCACCCACCTGGAGACGCCGACCTCTCAGGTAGGCAAAATGCCCGCTTAGGAATCGACCTCTTCTCCTTTGGTTCATGGCTGCTTCACCCCCGGGGACTGTCCCTTCACATGCACATGGGTTTCTCTGGGAGGGCAGCTTGCAAGCCCTGAGGACGTTCTGCAACATTCGGGATGTCCTCGGCCAGCAGCCATGTCTCAGGGGACACCGTGTCTGATTACTGACTCGGTATGGCCCCCACCACCTCAGGGCTTATGTATGTTTGAAGGGATCTTCAAACCTCTGCACACAGGACCCCGTGTCCCCTGAGAGCTGTCTCCAGTAAGTCCCCAGACCAGCCGGCCAGGTCCCCCGGCTGGCAGCTCTCTCTGTGGACTGGGACACAAAAAGGCATTTATCACCCAGAGAGCAAAGTAGGC